AGAGACTTGGAAAACATCTGGAAATCTTTGTTAAGAACACTAAACTATCTAAGATGATTTAGGATGGCATCACCCTAAATGGTCACTAAAATCCTTGCTGTAAAGGGAAGATGACTCAATGAAGGGATCTCTAGATCATTTTTATCAGAAGCAGCATTGAATTGTTGACTTTCTTAGAATTAACTCAATAAAACTAAAAAACTTTTTCTCTCCCCACAAAAATTTGTCTCTTTAGGGATGAGAAAACAGTGATAGTGAGGTTAAGGGGCTTGTACAAAGCAAAGGACATCACTTAAGACTAAAACCCAAATCTCCTACTTTCCCTCTTCTGAAATATGGCAAGAACTTCAGCCACTTAAGAATTTTAACCTCAAGTAAATAAAAGGTGTGCATAAATAAGATATCGGTAATACTTCAATGAAGAGTTTTCCTGAAGGGAGTCTGCAACACTGAAACTCAAATCTCATGTGCAAAGCACTGACGTGTGGGAAAAGGTGTGGAAATGACTATTCTACATTGGCTAAATATAAAAAGCCTAAGAAATCAAATAAAGTCATGGACGTTAGGTTGCTTCAAAAACTATAGTGCAGTATATAAAATGAAAAATATTGTTACTGATGTTGAGTTCTAGTGATGAGAAGAAATTTGACCTGACACAGAATTATGCAATTTTGCCCTTATATTCACCTGCCATTCAATATTTTTTTATTACTAGGAACCACTAAGGGTCCTTACTAAAGTGCCTCCTCATGTACTTTCCTCATACATACAATATCTACTTCTGTTTCATTATATCTTCAAAAGTCTGTGTATAACCTACAAGCTATCAGAGCAAGCTCAGGAAATGTTACCACATACAAATGAAAATAAAATGAATGTACTTTCTCTGTATTTGCACCAATACAATAAAATCTAACTAAAAATTCTGCCAGCATGAAGCATGGTCCACAACCTTATGATAATACAGTTTATTAAGCCAGGATTTTAGGAAGTTATCCTATTCAGTTTTTTGTTTTTGGATATTTCATTTCCTTCTGTGGTAGTTCAAGTAGAAACCTGAAGAGTACAGAGACTAGAATATGATGAAAGACTAAATGAGGAAGAACAGTATAGGATTGATGCAGAAAGTCCAATGCCAAGAGGGAAGATGATTTGACTTCTGCTAAGCCTGGCCATATTATTCTTGGTATTTCCTTATTACCAAGAACATCTAATAAAGAAAATGTGTCAGTTCTCACAGTAAAAAGTTCTGAGCTTTAATTTCAAAACTGGGATTCTGACATATTATCATAAACTAGAACAGCAATACAACAATATCTAACCTTTAATAAGCACTTACTATGTGTCAGGTACTGTTCTAAATGTTTTACATGGACGAACTCAATCACCATTAACAATCAAATGAAGTGGGTATTATTAATATCCCTCTTTTACAGAGGAAGAACTGTAAAGGGAGAGGCTAAGTAACTTGCTCCAAATCAAAGAGCTAATAATAAGCGATGAAGTTTGGATTTGAATTCTGAAACTTTCTGTACTAGTTCACTGCAGTGGTTTTCAAATTACATCTGCAGAACCTTTCAGCTCCAGGATTCAATTTTCAAAATATATTTTGTCCATTTAAAAAACTGCAGTAAAAACATCACCATCAAAATATGCTGTATTTAATGCACTGAAGGGAACCAACACATTAACTTTTTGCTGCTAGGCTGTCACTTCTGTGCAGATCTTAGAATAAAGCTAGTCCTGTCACTTCTGCCATCTTATTTGAACTTCCTGTAAATGTTTCATTGATTTGGAAGGTGCAATTCTGTCCAGAATTTTTTTAAAAACTCAAGACTAGTTCTGTCTGCTCAGATAAAAGTGTACATTGAGCATACAAATGCTGTACCAGGCCAACCTCAGGTGCATCTTATCACAGCACAAGTCAATAAAGAAACATCCTCTTTAAGTTTTGGGGGGCTTACCATCTGACATATTTAAGGTAAGAAATATAGGTTAGATGTGATTTTGAAAAATTTCCTACTATCTCCTATTATTCCTCTTCCAAGTTATAGAATATTAAATTGAAGGGTTTCCTGAGATGGCCAAGGAAACTGTTAGGAAAAAAACCACCTCCTCCACCCATTTTAGCCACACATGCCCTCTGTCACTCTGGACCTTGCGTCCGTAATTCCCTGCCCTTCCACTTTGATGTATCAATCACTCCCAGTCAGGTCTTCAATTCTATTGGGTCCACAATCCCACTGACCTATACCATCTGCTATTCTTTGACCAATACATCAGTTCTTTCCTTTATTCACTTTTACTTTTTATCCAGCTGAGAATCCATGAGCCATCATTACAACATTTTGACCAATACGTTAAACATCTTTCTTCCCCTGTCATTTTGTTGCATTTTGTTGGCAAACCCCAAACATGAATGAAACCTTCTACTGGCTTTCACCATGCACTGGTATCAAGGCAACTGAGCACTACTAGAGGTCAATAAGGCAGGTGGCTCATTACACTCTATGTTCTTGACCACTAATTTCAATGAGGCTTCCATGCTGCTAGACAATCCTCCTGTATCACTGGTTGGCATGCCTTCTCTCCAACTATTTACTTATTTCAAACATGTTCTACTTTTTCAAGCCTTGAACTTCTGTCCCTCCCATCTCTGCAGCAACTCATAGCTGAAAACTTTGTCTACTGATATGAAGGAGTTATTCCTGTCCTGCACAGTTGAAAATCCATGCATAATTTTTGACTCCCCCAAAACTTAACTACTAATAGCCTGGTGACTGGAAGCCTTGCCAATAACATAAATAGCTGATTAACACATGTTTTGTAGGTTATATGTATTATACATTGTATTCTTAGAATAAAGCTAAAGAAGAGAAATTGTTAATCATAAGAGAAAATACATTTACAGTACTGTATTTCTTATCAAAGATTTGATTTCTTCTTACAGTGATTTCTTCTTACAGTACTGTAAGATTTTTCATCAAAGAAATTCCATGGGTAAGTGTACTAGTGCATTTCAAACCCACGTTCAAGGATCAACTGTGTATCTTTCCCATGGACATTTACATTGGGATTCACCTAAAAGCACTTTGCAAAAATCACCTTCTATTTTAGAACAGTGAAACCTCTTCACCCCTAAGTATATACAAGGTCCCAAAGTAAGTCTCATGAAAGAAGTCACTGTACATATACCTAAGATAAAAACAACAGGCCATGAAGTGGATGTCACACATATAACTGCACAAACTAGTAGTAACACTGACATTGTCAACATTTTCAGAAACAGCCCATAGTTTCATCAAATTCCAAACCATCCTGAAAATTTTCTTATTCACCTAACAATTTTTAAAAAACTGATATAACTGACATACAACATTGTGTACATTTGATTTGATACATTTATATATTGCAAATTTACCACAGTAACATTAGCTAACAGCTCAATCACATCAAAATAATCATATATGTTTTACAATTAAGAGCTCTGCTAAAACTTGTAAAGGCAAGAAAAGGAGAATTTTTTAGTGTGTTATTTTAATAACACGTAAATCTGACAGCATGATTTTGTGTTACTAGATCTAGATGGAGGAGAGAAGGGAGGGAGGAGGGAGCAACAAATGTCCCAGCTACAGCTTTTTTTTAAGAGCTAAATATACTGCAGGATAAATACAGAACCATAAGTAATACTTAAGAAGTAACTCTGACAGCACAGTGATACATTTTTATAACAAATTATTCACGGAGGGAGTCTGACATTCCCAACCCCCAATATTCCCTTCACCTGCACTGAACAAGCAGAAAACAAGCTCACTCCTTCATTCCCATCAGCTCTCCTGACAGCTGTGACATTAATTAGAGGTTTGGTCTCACAGGTCTGGGTGAGTGAGAGAGAGAGAGAGAGAGAGAGAGAGAGAGAGAGAGAGAGAGTGTTTGAGTGAGAGGGTGACAGAGAAAGAGCGTGGTGGTCCAAGAAGAGAAAAATCCTGCAAGGGCATTCACCTGGGATACCCTTCAGAAGGATGCCTACTTCTCTCCTGAGGGCACCACCTTGTCTCTGCCGCCTACAGATCCGTGGTGTTACAGCAGATACTGCTACGATTGCTGGGACGCCTGAAACTCTAATGTGTTACTTAATTTTGTAACTCCTACTAAGATCTCTAAAGCGTTTTGTGATGCGCTGGAATGAAAGATGCTCCATAAAACGAAGTTTATTATTAGTATTATTATAGCTCCCGGGCCTAAAATAAAGCAAAATTATAACCACACAGACTTCAAAGGGAAAATCGGAAGCCACATGCGTCTTAAACACTGCCAAGCGGGCAGGGGACAGGCGAGGGCGCGGGGGAGGGAGACCCCCGCCCCCACCCATTTCACCAGCTCCCCCAGCACCATTAACCCTGTCTGGTCGGGCCACCTGGAACCCGGCCGCTGCTCCCGCCCGGGCCGGGGCCCGGACCTGACTCCTCACGCTGCTCTCTGGGGCCTCTCGCTCTGCCCCACAGGCGGCCTCCCTCCCGGCCCCGGCTCCCCGCCTGGTTTCTAATTCCTTCACAGGCGCCTCAGTTTTCTCCAAATCGGTTTCTTCCCGTCTCCCACCAGGACTTTCTCCCCGCTCCCCCCGTTCCCCCCAATCCAGGACGAAGCTCGTTCCTCCGGGGTCCCTCAGGTCCAGTGACTGTCTCCCCACCACCCCCCCTTCCCCGTGCGGGACCCTTCAGCCCAGCCCTCGTCGCCCCCTCGACCACTTTTCGCTCAGCCTGGGGCGCCGCTCCCCTCAGCCGGAGGGTCCCGCGGGCGACCGCGCTTCCTCTTCTCCATCCCCTCTCCTCCCTCGGCCCCCTGGGCTCCCGGCCCCGCAGCCCGGGACGCCCCCTCGTCCCCTCCCTCCTCAGGCCAGCCCCCGCCTCGCACCCTCCAGTCCCGTTTTCCCCTCAGCCGGGTCTCCCCTCCCCTCCCGCAGCCAATCCCCCGCCCGACCCCGCACGCCCGCCGCTCACCCGCGGACTCCCCGGTGTTGATCCAGTCCGGGTTGGCGATGCTGGCGATGGCGAAGATATCGGCGGCCAGAAAGAGACATCCTGAGATGATGGTCAGTTTATCCATTTCCCCGCCCCGCTCCCCCCACCCCCCGAGCCCCGGGCAGGCCGCGGCCTCACGCCTCCCGCCCCATGGGCCGCCGCCGGGGCCCGGAGTCCCCGCGCCGCCGCCTCGCGCCCCTCGGCCCCCGCGCGCCTCTCGCGCCCTCCGCGCGCCCGGGACCAGCAGCCGCGGCGCGGCCCGCACAGCCGGAACCGCCGCCCGCCCCGGAACTGCTCGTCTCGCCCGCCCCTCACCCGGAAGCGAAGCGGCGGCGCCAGCAAGGCCGGGCCAGCTGCCGAGCCGCGGCGAACCTGCTCGGTCCTCCCGGCTCTGCTGCCCGCCTCGCAGCCCCGGCCCGCAGCTCCGACCGTCCCGACAGCCCCGGGCCCTGCTGCGCTCCGCCGGTCTCTCCTCGGCCTCCCGCCTCGCTGCCCTGGAGCCGGACCGGCACCCGGCCCAGGCCCCTGCCCCGCGCCCGGGTCTCTTCCGGCAGGCCACGCCGCCTTTTGGCTTTCTTGCCAATAATAGTATCGTTATCGTTGTTAATGACTGTTTCGTGCCCCTTTCAAAAGGGAGACTAGAGTGGTAGGTGGGGGGCTCTGCCAAGTGACTCGGGGCTCCGTACAGTTCTTGTCACCTTGTGTTAGCATTGCCCCCTCCGCGTCGGTCAGCTCAGGGACTGCCCCATTTAGGAAATAACTGTCGACACCTAGTGGGGGGACTGGCCTGGACATGCGAGACAAGGTTTCCACTCTCCGGAAGCTTACGTCCTGGTGGGGAAGAGAAACACGTTAAAATTTTATCTTGAAAATAAAGATCATTTCAGGTGTTGTTTTATGAATTAAATGGGGGGGTCGGTCTGATGGCGGGGGAGAAGGAGGCCTGCGGTGATACTTAGGATGGTCAGGGAAGGTTCACTGAGATCACCAAGATCATAAAGACCTAACCTGTGAAGATGTGGGCAAGGCTACTCCAGACCGAGGGAAAAGCCAGTGCAAAGAGGATTAGGGGAAGGGACAGGGAAGAGGTTGGCTTGTTCAAGGAACTGTGGAATAGCCTGTTTGGCTGCAGGGGAGTATGAAAAGACAGAGGTAGGCGGAGGCCAGAGGTAGAGCTTTGGGAGCCATGGTAAAAAGTCTGGATTTTGTTCTAAGTGGAAAGGAAAGACACAGGAGGTTTTCAGCAGGAGACTGACAAGGTCTTATTTAATCTGTAAAGATAGTGTAGTTAGTAGGGGGGAGGGGCAAGTTTGAAAGCAGGGATACCAGTTAACAGGCAAAGCACTCTAGGAGAGAGAAATGTAGCTTTGGCTAGGATGAGAATAGTGAAAATGGACAAAAATGTACAGCTTTGGCTATTTTGTAGGCAAGGAAAACGACTGACAATGCGGGAGGGGTTGAAGCAAAGAAAGGCCTCAGGAATGACTCCTAAGGTTTTGGCCTTAGTAACCAAGTGTTTGGTGATAACTATTTACTGAGTTGAGGCCTGAGGAGAGGCTTAGTTTGGATGGATAAAAACAAGAAAAAACCAAGACCTTGGCATAATTTGTTATGATCAAATACAGATGATCTAGCCATCTACAATTTTACTGTCTAGCGGAGGTTTCTTTTTCTTTCATGACTCATGGACCAAATCACCATTAACCCTAACTTTGGATCCAGCTCTTTCCTGGATAGTCCCCCATGCAGCAAACAGGAGATGGGACATTCATTTTCTCCTTAAATGCCACATAGGTCATCTCTAGAAAGACCTGGAAGAGTAACATCTGTCTCTATTTTTGGAATGCCTACATGTTCACAAAACTCAGCAAGTTTCAAATTCCACTAAATCCAACAGCCTTGAAGAAACTCACAGAGTTATCAGTGTCAGCACATAGATTGGGTAAGGAGGGATTTGATTGCTAGTCTATAGACTTTCCTGTCCGAACATTGGTCTCCTGGGGGGAAGGATATTTTAAAAAAATATGGTATCATTTAGTTTTCTTCTGCCACAAAAATTGGCAGAAGCTGATTGATATATTCCAGGGATTCAGATATGCATATCACATTACTGCAGGAGGGCTTCACTTTTTTTTTAAGTACTGGAGAAGTTTGATGGAATCATATTCTTGGCTTTTTGTCCAGAGTTTCTGTTGCCCAGTAATACAAAAAACTCCAACTACGTAGTTCTGAATTCTCAAACAATGTCTACTGATGTTGCCTATGAGGCAGTTGATGAGAATCCTGAGGTGAAATGTTGGAACAGTTTGCCTATTCTGACCCCAAATGAGTGGAATGATGATCACTTGATTATCGTGTTAAAAAAATACAAGTATATGGGGCTCCTGGGTCGCTTAGTCGGTTAAATGTCTAACTCTTGATTTCGGCTCAGGTCATGATCTCAGGGTCGTGAGATCGAGCCCCACATGGGGTCCGAGCTGGGCATGGAGCCTGCTTAAGATTCTCTCTCTCCTTCTCCCTCTGCCCCTCCAAACCCTCTATAAATCAATCAATCAATCAATCAAGTATAAATTTCTCCTTCTACCTGGGCAACACTTCCCAGTCCTTCCTATCTCTGCCCCTCCACAAAAGTTTCTGGATCTAAGATTAAGGGATAAAAACAAGCAGTATGATGGTAACTAGACATCGTGGTGATCATTTCATCATGTATACGAATGTCAAATCACTCTGTTGTACACCCGAAACTAATATATGTCAACTATACTTTATAGGAAAAAAATAGCGCGAAGTTAAAAAAAAAATTAAAATTTTTTTTTTTTTTTTTTTTACCAGGTTAATAATGGCTACAGGTCTTAGACAATAGTCACCTATCCCATTCCTTCTTACCAACCAGGATGGGGGTGGAGGGGTGGACAGGGACCAAATATTCTGTTTACAGATTTTTCGTTAATCCTGTTTTTAGCCCCACATCTCATTCTTGACTTCCAATGTGTCTGGTGTTTCAAAGTCCCAAGCCTCTCAGAGATCTACAGGACAGATCAGTTCCCTTCTCTATATCCCAGTCTAGATTTTAGTAGATGCAAACCCTAGGGGTTAGGAGAGGTGGTGTGATGGAACAGAAAGGATACAGAACTGTATTGCAGTCCCACCCCTTCTACTGCCTTGAACTTGGTAAAGTCCTGTCACCTCCCTAGGCCTCTTTCCCTCCTCTTACTTAATAGACTCCCAGAGCCGTGCACTCTGCCTCAGTGATAGAACTTCCCCATCCCCTGACTCACCCTTAAGCAAAGCAACTGGGACTTTTCTATTCGGAGAGAGATGAGCCACAAGGATCCTTAAGGCAGAAAATCCTTGGGGACCCAGAAGGCCCCCAGGAGGGATCTATGGTGGCAGCCTGGAGTCATAAATAGGCATTCGGTGGCTGTTAAGGGGCTGTGAACATGGTGTGCTTTATCGTGATGGATGGTAGGCCTTGGCCCAGCAGAGGCTGAATCCAGATGGGACCTTGGTGAAAGCTGTGGAGGGGACTGTGTAATCACTCTTCTCTTTAAGGAGTATCTTTGGCCTGACAGGATAAAGAACACACTGCCTCCCCAGGGGAGGGGAGGGTCAAGTTCACCACACGGGTTAGGAGTGTGGTGGATGCACCATACATATGCACATGGGATTTCTGGGATTAGATAAAACAAAAGAGCTAAATCCAGAGTTTAACAGTTTGTGCCCTGGGCTCAAATCTCCTTTCCTCTCATGGATTGGGTTCCACTGGAGCTGACTCAGAGACAAGAGATTAGCGATTAGCGATTAGTGAGCAGGGAGTTTACGAGGGAGTGCCGCTCAGGAGCAGGGGAGGGGAGGGGAGGCAGCAGGGAAGGCCGAGGGAGCAGTTTGCAGTGGTGCAGTCATTGGAGGCTTTGGCAGACCCCGTGGGGAGCTCTGAAGCTGGGACGGCTGTTCGGAGTTGGGGAAAAGGGGCCAAGCCTTTGTATCCCTGCATGGACTAGTCATCAGATGCTAGCTACCCCAGGAATGGGGCATGACCTTGGGTGAGGCTGCTCTTCAGCCAAGGACAATTCCTTGAGAGGGCTGACAGCTGAGATCTGTCAACCTCCCACCTTCCCAGTAGCTGGGGACTAGGTCCTTCAGTCTTCAAGGGGACCAGGAAGCCCAAGGCAACAAGGTGCCATGGTGCACCCACTGTGCTATGCAGATCCACCTGCTTCTTTTCAGTTCTGAGAGCAGGACCCTGGTGGGGATGTATTTCTGTGGGAATCTTTTAAGAGGAAGGTTAGCGGGACAAACCACAGCTCCCACTGTTGCTGTAGCTCATCTCAAGGCATAACTGACACACTAAACACTTCCCTCCTCTTCTGCCATCCTAGATTCCTCTCACCTTCTGCTAGCACCGCTGTGGGCTAGGTGGCTTATATGGTGAGGTGGCTCAGCCCTCCATCCCTAAGGAGTCTGAGCCACTGGTTGCTATGTATTTCTCAGGCTGTGCCTACTTTGTCCATTTACTGTCAAAATAAAGCAAAGGAGTACTAAGAGATATGGAAGGCAGATCATGTGGGTGCCAAACCCTTCCATTTTACTATGGTGAAAAATTGAACAGCCTTAGTGTTTCCCTGTGCCTCAGGCTATGCACACCCCTCCTCTACTGGGGATGGAACCCTCATTATTACATGGACAGCAGGGTCATCCAGCTCCCAAATCCCATCTGAGCATCTACTCTTTGAGACCATCCCTGGCACTAGCTGCGGCAGGTTGGGTGTGTTCTCTAGGAAACACTGTTGAGTTGCGGGGAGTTTCCTGGGGAGTGCCCTTGCGACCCACACCTGTGAGGGGAAAAAGGGGAAGCAGCACCTGGCAAAGGGAGAACTCAGGTGGCAGCAAAGCCACAGAAGGACCTCAGGGGACCCCACAGGAGCTCTGGAGCTGGGATTGCCCTCCAGAGTTGCTTGGGCAGGACTGAGGGAGCCTGGTTTTTACCCGACCGTGACTGGTCACTGGATGCTAGCTGCCCTGGGAAGGTGTGATCTTGGGCAAGGAGCTCAGCCAGAAGCAGGGGTGGGGTAGAGGGGCAGGAAGAAAGCCTTCAGTCCTGAAGGGGAGTCTGGGAAGCACAGGACTGTAGCCATGACCATTTGTATCCCGCAGTTCCACCCATCGGTGTGATCCTGACAGCTGCCCTAAAGAGAGTTTCTAGCCTGGGATGGAGGGAAGGCAGACAGGGGCTGATATGCTCCCCTTACCAAACCTCCGAGGCTGATGTGCTTGAGCCCCTCAAACTCTCACCACTCCCCCTACTCATAGGAACATGGAGGAAAAGGATGCATTTTATGAAGGAATTAATTTGGTGTCTGGACAGACACCTTGCCAGACAGTTTGGAGGAGGAAACTGGTGATTGATCACGAGAAGCCACCGGCTGGAGACTCCTTGAGGTGGAGAGCGCCAAAATGGACGGCTCTGTTCATTTCCCTTTGTCTCAGTTTCTGCAGACAGGATTTATCCAACGAAAATCTAGCCTGGTGTATTGTCTAGGTAGAGCCACAGAAATGGCCGACTAAACCAGAACCTGTCCAGGTTGACTGTGGAAATCTCTGCACAGTGCCTGACACCTAATAAGTGCCTGATAACTATTTGTTGAAAGCATGGATGCAAGATGCTTAACCCTCTGAGTGTCATCAGAGTTGGGATGACAACAGTTCCTACCTCATCACATTGTTTTCTATTTCTTCTAGAATATATTTTTGCTAATTTATAGTTTCCTAAAATTGTCCACTTCATCTGCTTTTTAAATCCGAGTTCTGTCTTGCCTACTGTTGTGTCCCCAGCCTCAGTACAAACCACAGAGCGGGCTTCCAGTAAATATTTGTCCTATGAGTGAATGTGTGTGGGGGAGGAAAGATTATTTTGGAAAAAAGAAGGAAGAATTAATTCCTCTCCTAATCGTGACTCATTTTTTTCGAGCCACCCTTGGCCTTTCCTCATTCAAAACATCCATGAAAACAGTGCAGTTCCAAAACAGTTGGGGCTGTTGATGCAACAATATTTAAAAATACCATTACTGGGAGAGAAGCAAGGGGCTTCTGTGCTCTTCTACGGTCTTCGAGTTGCCATCTGCCTCTGCAGACCGATTCATGTCTTTGCCACACCCTCCTCTGTGTTTCTTCCATCCTCCCCACTTCAGTTGTTTTCCAAGAATGGATGATGAACCCACTGTGGGCCAGGCATTGTGCTACCCCCGCCCCGCACAGCTTTGTTTTTCTCCCCCCAAATTTCCACTCACTCCACTTTCGTGGTCCACGGAGGCCTTGCAACCGCCACGGCTGTCCAACTTCTGCCCCCTGGCGGCCATCCCGAGGAGCAGCGCCCGAGGTCTCCCCGCCGCCCGGGGGTCCGCCCCGTCGCCCGCCGTCTGCCCCGCAGTGCGCCGGTTCCTCGCGGTTTCGAAACAGTTGGGAATTGGACCCACTCCAGCTTCGGCTCTGGGAGGCCCTCTGAGCGGCTTGCCCTCCTGGGGCCATGAAGAAGGCCGTCCTAAAAAGCAAAAAAGGTAACTGGGGAGTGGGGAGAGGGCGACGCCCTGGGGACAAAGCCTTCATCACTTTGCCTCCCCTGTAAGACGAGAACGTCGGACTCTTGGTCTGGGAGGTAGCCTCTCCCCATCATTTGTTTACTAAACTATACTTTACATACAATAAGAACCCCCCATTGTTAGTGTATAGCTCTGAGTTTTGACAAACGATGACCCAGGTTTAACCACCACCATCAAGATGTGGAGAAGTTCAAACACCCTCCTCCCTCCCGCATGGCTTTGCGCTGCCCCTTTGCTGCCAGCCCGCACTTGGGGGCTTGGCACTCCCGATCTGTCTCCCGTAGTTTTGGCCTTTCCATGGAGAAGGTGGAATCATCAGGGGTGGAGTCTTTTGAGTCTGCCTTCTGCTGTCTTCGGAGACTGGGCTGCATAGATTATTTTATCCTAAGCACATGTAATTTGCAAGCTGAGGTTGGGACTCAGAATCTGCCTAAAATGCCACTTCTCTGTATGCTGGGAACTGGAGGCTGAAGGAGGGGTACGACCTGCTCCAAATCGCTCCTAAAATCCTGAACAATCTCCGAATGTTGTACCTTCTTTATATTGGGTTCCTTTATTTTCTAGAGAGCATCTGTGGTTTTGGGGAAGGTGAGGTTGGAGATGAGCAAAACCACTTGCTTAAAAGAGGGAAGGGCCAGGAACCTGGCCAGCCGCCGCGGAGGGACTGGGGGAGCCCCTCCCTCAGCAATGGGGGACTCCTGGGCCCTCAAAACACCACAGTCCCATGGATTTGGCAAAGGCTCAAGTAGCCTTTTGTCCCTTGTCCTTAAGGAAAAGTGTGCTGAAAACGAATATCCCCAGAAGCCTCCTGTGGACTGAAAATGAGTCTTCTCAGAAGTTTCCTCTCGGGAGAATAACTTGTTCTAAATCACTCCACAGTCTGAAACTTTTCTTGTGAGGGTTAGTTCTGTAGAAAACATATTTCGACACCCCTCCACCACCACCCATTGTGCCAGATTTTCCTGCCAAATGATCTTTTCCTGCTATCTCCACTGTCATTGCCATGGCATGCTTGGGTGATTACAGTAACACTTTGATTTCCCACTTCCACTCTGGACCCCACAATCGATGGTTTGGTTTTGTCTTAAGAAAAATGCAAATCTTACTGTGTCTGTCCTGTTCCAATGGCTCCTCAGCTCTTGCAGCGAGGTTAGCCTGTGAAGCAGCCCAGGTAGGCTCTACCTTTGCTCCTCCCGCCTGCCCCCTCCTCTCCATTCTTTCCTGTCTCAGAGCCTTGATCTGCTTTGCGCCCTCCCAACCTCCTTGGTCTAAATATTTCCTGTTGGTCATTTTTACCTCAATCCAAATGTTACCTCCTGTATGAAGCCTGAACCGCCTTCCCCATGGGATACCTTGGCCTCCTGTAAGTCCCCCTCAGAGCTCTCCGTACTCTTCCTTCATAGCATGTGTTATCGTTTGTTATTCAACATACATTTACACGACCGATGGATATATTTCTTCCACTAAGCTGGAAGATCCATAAGGGCAAGAAACTGTTATTTCCTAGCACACTGCCTGCCTCAGAAAAGATTTGTAAAGCGGATAGATGATAACTGACATTAAGCCCTCAGCAGGTGCCAGGCCCTATGCAAAGCCCTTTAACTGTCTTGTTTATACTCCTAACAAGCCTCTAAGCTAGACACTTACTGTCCTCACTTTACTGAGAGGGAAACTGAGGAATAGAAAGGTTAAGAAACTGCCCCGGGGGTGTGGCTTTAGGACTCCAGTGGTACTACCATGTTGCTGTCTAGGTGACAGACTGAAAAAATGTCTCCCTCTTTTTATTAGACAAACAAATCGGCTTCAACGTCAAGTCATCTGTGCATAACTTGAGCAAAACTCAGCAGACCAAACTCACTGTGGGGAACCTGGGCCTAGGCCTGATCGTCATCCAGAATGGGCCCTACCTCCAGATCACCCACCTCATCAGGAAGGGGGCTGCGGCCAGGGATGGAAAACTCAAGCCAGGTGAGTGTGGTCTTCCCCTGCCTCCTCCTGTATGCCTCTGGGGAGACTCCGGGGACAGGTTTTAGTGTAACCATAATAATGATGATGACATTGCTTGAGAGCCGATTTCTGTGTGCCAGCCACTTGCTATCACTTTACCAACCCTCACTGTTGTGCGTTTTTATTCGTTGAATTCTGATCATAAGTCTCTAGGTAGGAGCCGTTGTCATCCCCCTTTCACAGGGGACAAAACTGAGGCTCGGTGAGCTTGAGTTCCTTGCCCAGGCTCACCCCCACCTGGCACATGGGATACACACACAGGCACGGTGTCACTCCAGAGTTTATGGCTCTCGGTGGATAAACCCTTCTTCTTGCGTAGGCAGTATGAATCATCATTAACATTTAGATGCATGATCTCATTTCACCCTCCTGACAATCCCTGAGGTCGATTCTGCATTAAATCACCTTCCAGAGAAGGAATCAGGAATCTAGTAACTTGCCTACCAGGGATCAGGGGCTTGAACCCTCTCTGTTAGACTTCCGAGCCCAAGGGCTTTATCAACACCGCCCTGCTTCTCTTGTCTTGGGGTGAATGAATTTTCCATCCAGTTCAAGACATGTTTTCCAGTGTCTGCTCCGGTTCTAGGGCTGTGCTCGGGAGCCAGGGAGACACGATGGACTACAAGGGTGGTGAGAGGGAAGAGCCATCCGGTTTTAGCCGGGCCTGAATTCTGGCCCAGGCTCTGCCACTTTGTAGTTCTGTGACCTTGGGCAGAGTCATCTGACCTTCCAGGTGTAGGTCCCCTCATCTCTGATTTGGGATAATACCACCTTCGTCAGAGGCAGCTAGGATTCGGAGAGGTCATGTTTATGAAAGTGCTTTGAAAACGACAGTTCAGTGGGAATACTGGCAATCATTTCTCTTAGGCTGTTCTTAGAGTTTCCAGACTTGGGTTTTCTTGTTTGTTTTTGTTTTTAATAAAAAATGATTGTGGTAGAGGAGCCCCAGTGGGTTAGGCCACCGGTTTGTAACTCTCGTTATCTATTAGAATCACCTGGGGAGCTTATAAAACTGAGCTGCCTAGGCCCCATCCCCCCAAAGGTTCTGATTCAATTGATCTGGGGCCAGGGGTCGGGTAGTTCATGGTTTCAAAGCTCCTCAGGTGACTGATTCTAAGTGCAGCTCGGGTTAGAAGCAGCGGATTAAAGAAAAGAGATAAATGCTGTCACTGTGAACGTTTACCTCCCTTTAAAATCCAAAACATCTTCTCCAAATGTCACTACTTGGTGCTGTGGCAGAGTACCAGAAAGAGAGGTCTGGACCTTCCAGACCAGAAAAAGTCCAGGACAGGTCTCGTGAGCTTTTCTGCATGTTCTTCTTAGCCTCTCCGGGGTCAGGTGACAGATACTGGTCGTTGGAGTGCGACCAGAGTGTGCTTTTATGCACCGGAAGCAGGACCTCATGGTCAGTGGGCTCTTTGAGGTCAGAGGCAGTCTTGAATTCATCTTTTAAATCCAGGACTTACCTACAGTGTTCGTGCATTTGTTATGTCTTGTGCTTAATAAGTGAATAATAAATATTTGTCACAGCCATCGTGCAAGGAGTTTCTACGTCTATGATCTCATTTAATCTTTGCACCACTCCTGGAAGGTGGGTAACGCAAGTATCAGGGAAGGCACTTCATCCTGAGTCTTTTCTTCTTGGAGGTTAGGCTTCAGCTGTCTTGGAATCAGAGTAATTGAGGGGCCCCTAGCTTCCCATGCAGAGAGAGATGAACACACCCTTTGAGACTTCAAGATAAGAGGGTTGGGGAGAGGAAGGAACTAGGCCAATACACAGAGCTAAGTGGGTGGATGGGGCCCATGGCCCCGAAAAAGCCCACACCTTTGACTGGAAAGAGTCCCAGATCTCTTCATGACAGGTCAGTCACTTCCCTTCAGGGTCTTGGTTTCAGAGACTGGAATTCAGTGCTTTTGACAATGTTTGAGAATTTCAGATGTTGACAGTCCCCCAAACCTGCTATTTCTTTGACCCCATTATCTCCCAGCCCCATTATTTCTTAACCACATGCTTCCTATTTTTCTCTTCTGGTGTTTCAAAATAGGGTTTGATCTTGATTTCCTAGTTTAGTTGTTAAGTTTATTCTGGCTAAACTTTAAATTCCTTTTGGCCAGTATGGCTTTAAAGAGACTCTGATATCTAGAGTCTTAAGAAATTAGTATAGCTTTGAAGGCAAATACAAGTCACGGACTGGCCACATTCATTCCCTAAGCGTTTCCTGAATGCCTACTGTGTGCAGGTATCCTGCTAGGCACGGGGGTATAAAGGTGAGCCAAACAGATGTAGTCTCTAACCACATGGAGCTTACGGAACTCACAGCCTCATCGGGAGAGATGGAGAAAAATAAACAGAATCTATTTTTCAGTAGTGACTTGGCTGCTGCAAAGTTGATTTAATATAGGTAATCGAGACAAAGTTTATATAATGTGGTTCCTACAGCCCATTAAAACAGAAAAAAATGTGTAATGAGGTTGGTATTCATAAATACCAGCTTGGTATTTCTTTATGAAGGGCGATGTTTGTATCTATTACTAGAGTAATCACATTCATACAATGACAGGTTTGGTTTATAGCCAGGATGGTCAGGGAATTATTAAGCTGTTTTCTGCCGTCTTGATAAAAAAAACCCCAATACCTTTTAACAATGTAATTAAGCAGAATGCCAAGCCATAGCTTTTAGCTATAAACGCTCATTTTAACATAAGGCACGTAAGCTCATCCAGCGAGGGGTTTTTGTTGTTGTTGGTTTGTTTTTGTCGTTGTAATTAACCTCCATAGGATGAACAGCTATTTCAGACCGCATGCTCTGCAGGTAGCTGGGAAAACCTTATTTCATTTTGAAGTTAGCTGCAGATTCTTGGCTGGTTTTGTTATTCTCAGCTACTTTTTAAGACCAAAGTAGGTTTTCTCCACCCTTCTAAGTATTCATTCTGTTTACTACTTTGAAGCTTAAGTTTCTGATAGGATCTAGCACTATGGATATTTGTCCTTGGCATTCCCCAGAGGCTTCCCTTGAGATTTAGCAGAATTCTCAACCATAGCATAGAGGGGTGTAGTATCAGGGAAGGTACTTCATCCTGAGTCTTTTCTTCTTGGAGGTTAGCCTTCAGCTGTCTTGGAATGAGGGTAATTGAGGGGCTCCTAGCTTCCCAAGCACAGAGAGATGAACACACCCTTTGGGACTTCACCGGACTCCCTTCATCCAGTGTTAGCTATAAAATCTCCATTACCATTTGGCAGGCTGTTAGTTCTAGTAAGATGTGCTAAGACTTTATCCAATGTGAGCCCTTAAAAAGTAATTTCTTTGTATTCCTTCCTCTCTTGCTGCGTGTCCTTGTGGTAGTCAGGATTCTTCACTGCAAGCAACAGAAAACCATTCTATTAAGGCACTGAACTTAGAACACTGAGTCTGACAGAATTGCCAGAAAGGCTGGAGAACCAGACTTCGAAAACGATGAGGGATCGGAGGGTCATATAGAACTACCCCTGGCAGCCAGGTGTTCCTGTCACCCCTCTGCATCTCCTGCTCTGGGTTTAGTGACCCAGGTGGGTGTGCCCCATGGCTGGATCTCCTTTACACGTCCATGCACAAATGAGTAATTGGTCTTTGTAACATCCACTTTGGGGGTCCAGGGGCTTGCGGTCAAGATGTGGTTTTCGTCCCACTTGCTGGGGGATCAGAAGCTCCATGGTTGACCATTGTGCTTCCCTCCCCGTCCAGCAACGCCCTAAAGTGGGCAACCTAGCTGTCAAATCCCTTTAACCAACATACTCTCTGTATAGACATCATAAGCTTAATTAAAGGATGCTAAATGTCCAATGTTTTTCATGCAGAATTATTTGCGCAACTCATACTGTGCAAGGCATAAAATTAAAATCAAAGTCTTGATGTTAATACCAGTGGAGGGCACTGGAAATTGCCAGGCAGGTACAAGAGAAACTAGGTCATTTATTCACTTAGTATAAGTGGTTTTTTCTTTAATAGTAATAGCTATTCATTTTACTTGAAACAAACACATTTTTGGAATCTTAAAGGATGGTTCAGATTATAAATGGTTTTTCTTCTGTCACACCAAGGACTAAAGAAATGCAGTAAAAACATGAAATAGTATCTACCATTACACTGCTACTAAGAAACACCTTGCATGCATTCTCCATTATGCAAAGGACACTCACATCACTGAGATGACTGCTTTTATTAAATAAAGGCTGAAGCCTCGTTTGGGTTTGAAATGGACCAACAATATGAACCCTTAAAATGAAACACCTCAGTAGAGCCAGAAGTGGTATGAGCCCACTGACCCATTATCTTAATTTACTGATAACTTTTTCCCTCTTCAGGTGATGTTCTGATTAGTGTTGGCCATGCCAACGTGTTAGGATATACTCTTCGAGAATTTTTAAAACTTTTGCAACAAATCACCATAGGAACAGTGCTACAAATCAAGATTTACCGAGATTTTATTGAGATACCCCAAGAATGGCAAGAAATCTCTGATTTAATCCCTGAGACCAAATTCCCAGTAACACGGTAAGTAGTTGATTTTAGGAAATCTTTTGTTATGCTAGTACCCCGGGGTCTGTGAAGCACTGGGTCTTGGTTTCATGGGAGAATGACCAGTTGGACCAGAGTGGGAGGGATTGGTGAAACAACCACGATAATTTAGTGGGTTCTAAATCCTTCTGGAAAAGTACAATCTACAGGACCTAATGTGAGGCAGATTGATGAAGGGCGAGAGCCTTGAACCTGGAGCTCTAACAAAGAGAACCATCCAATGGGAGCTCTGCCTGCAGATCTACCAGCCATGTGTCCCCTTGTCCAGAGTTAGCCTTAAACACGTGCGGTGAGTCCCATCCCTTCATTTGTCTCCTGCACACTCAGCTTCTCTCTGCATCCTTTTCAACAACACGTAAGCCTTAGGCCTCTGCCATCTTCCCAAACCCCACCTTGACTCCACTGCCCTCTGCCTGCCCCCCAGCCACGGTCCTGTCCCTGACTCCAAACGGTAGAAAGAGCTGTAGCAGATGTGGGCCATTTCCCCAGGAGATGATTTCCCAGGCGCTCTGCCTCCCACCTCTGTGTAGGCCTTGCTTTCTTCACCTGGCCGAGAGGCCTCTTGGCAGGGCCCTCCCGCTCCTGACTCCGGTAGACTCAAGTCTTCATTGTGCTTGGCTTCTGGGCAGCATTCAACGCCCTACACCTGCCACCCTCACTCCTGCTGAAAGATCATCTTCCCCAGGCTTCTGCCTTGGCGTTCCCCGGGGCTGAATCTTTGGCTTCCTTTTCTCAGTCTCCTGGGCCATCTCTCACTGGTGCCTGTGGTTTCTATCACTCTCCAAACATGAGTGATTTTCCAAATTGTATGATCTTCAATTTCCCACTTGGTAGCTCCATTTGGGTGTATCACAAACCCCTCACAGTCCTTATGCCAAAAAAAGCCAGCTCACTGCTGATCTCCCAGTGGCCCTATCTTACTGGGGGAGCATTTGCTTAGTTGAACAAATCCGAAATTTAGGGGTCGTGCTAGATTTCTCCATCTCCCATGTTTCTGCCCAAAATAATCACGAAGACTTGTCATTTTACCTTCCAACTGTCTCTCACATTTGTCCATTTCTCCCTGGCCACTACCATCACCCCAGTCAGAGCCACCATTTGGTCTCTACCATCTACTCCTGTCCCCTATTCATTCTCTACACAGAACAATCCTTTTACAATGCAAATCTGACTTTGACATGTTCCTGTTTAAAATCTTTTAAGACCTTCTGTTCTCAGGACAAATGCCCAACCCCTATACTGGTCTATGCTACTACCCCATGTGGCTAATGTCTGTATCCCACTGCAGCCTCACCTCATACTGCTCTCCCTTTCCCTCTCTAGTCCACTTTGGCTTTCAGCTTTTTTGCCTTGTTTCTCTTTGCCTCGGGGCCTTTGCACGTGCTCTTCTGTCTGCAACGTGCTTAGGACCCCGTCAATACTCCTTGAAGGCTTACAGCGCAAACTTTTTCCAAGAGGCCTTCCTAAATTAGGAAGCATTAAAACACTGTCTGGTCCACCCATCCTATGCTTTCAAAGCAACATGTGTATCTCCTTCACAGCATTTCTCCTAATTTCAGCGAAGTAATCTGTATCATCCATTGTTTACTCTGTTGCCCTGGGAGAATGCAAACTGAAGGTAAGGACTAAGTCTCTGTTGTTATGCTAAATCTACCACAGGACTTTTCTGTGGTTTCCTTTATTCAGAGTGAATGAAAATTAAAATCCAGCTTCAAGGCTCAGGCAAATCACTTAATCTCTGAGGGTTTGGTTATCTGTAACCCAGGAGTACCAGAGACTCTCCTGCTGGTCACACCCGTGAGGAAGGTCTGTCGAGCATAAGAACACGTAGAACATGAGATCCTTTTCCTTCAACGACCGAGTTCAGTGCTCTTATGCAAGAGCGGTCCTTATTAATTCAACAGGATTTCCGAGCATGAGTTGCTACAGCTGTGTATTGGGATGGGCTCAAGGAAATCTGGCTGGGGACTTACCAAGGCCTAAAAGAGGGCCCACATTGCATTGACATTACTTCAGATATTCCCACTTGTGGTCCAAGGGACTGATATGGCCAACAGATGTGCTTTGCTAGTCTCCCACAGCATTTTATTTATTTATTTATTTATTTTTAAAGATTTGACAGAGAGAGACACAGTGAGAGAGGGAACACAAGCAAGGGGGGAGTGGGAGAAGAAGCAGGCTCTCGGCTGAGCAGGGAGCCTGATGCGGGGCTTGATCCCCAGGACCCCGAGATCATGACCTGAGCTGAAGGCAGACGCCCAACGACTGAGCCACCCAGGCGCCCCTCCCACAGCATTTTAAAAAGCCAGAATAGGGCACCTGGGTGGCTCAGGTGGTTAAGCAGTTGACTGCCTTTGGCTCAGGTCATGATCGCGGAGTCCTGGGATCAAGTCGCACATCGGGGTCCCTGCTCAGCAAGGAGTCTGCTTCTCCCTCTGACCCTACCCCCTCTTGTGCTCTCTCTCTCAAATAAATAAAAATAAATAAATAAAATCTTAAAAAAAAAAAGCCAGAATAGCAATGACCTGTAGAGAGAAAGGAAGATACACAGGGGCTTTTCCAGGGGCCAGTACTCTTTATTTCTTGACCCCAGGGTGTGTGGCTACCCAATGTTTATAACGTTTTTTTTTTCATTAAACTGCCTATTTTTTTTTGCATTTTTCTGTATATTTCAAAATTTTTTAAATGAAAAATATTTGAATTAGTTGCCCAATTTACACATCTAAGATTTCGTGGAAAGGATCTGCAACTCTGGTTTCTCCTGAAGATGGGCCTGCATTCCCACATGGTGACAGTGGGACTAGAGCTGGGTAGAGCTGTCTGTCCCCTTAGATCAGGCACGACAGGGGACAAGTTTTTTCCCACTAACCAAACCAATCATGCAACCAAACCAATCATGCTGTAGTTAAAAATCATTCACGACAACATTGCTTACTATGTGGTGGACACTGCTTGCCAAGCGTTATACCCCTTAATCCTCAGGCCAGTGCTTTTTATTATCCTGATTACAGATAGGAAAACGGAAGCCAAGAGAGGTGTCTGTAAACTTGCCAGAGGTCAGAGGGCGAAGCGTGACTAGGTCTGTCTCTAGAGCAGCAATGTTCAAAAAGAACTTACTGCGGTGGTGTAAATGTTCTCTATTTGTGCTGTCCCGTGTGGTAGCCACTATTAAGCACCTGGAATGTGAGGAATTGCAACTGAGGAATTTTAAGTTTTCGTCAAGTTTAATCAGTTCAAATTCAGCAGCCACGCACAGCTGGAGGGCCCTGTACTGGGGAGTGCAGCTCTCAAGCCTGGGTTCCTAATCATTCGTTTACAGAATGATTATGTTTCTAAGCATTTTAACTGTTGAGAGTTTGAGATTCAGGATATGAAAATCTAAGAATGGCAGACTGACCACTCAAAAGCAAAAAAGAGTGAAACAGAATAGCACAACTCAAATATGAGGCTAAAGCCCACGGACTTAGGAACAATAGCAAGCGCTTTCTGAATCCCTTCCTTAGCTCAACAAAATGCTTATATCTAAGGCACTTTGGTAATTTATGTGGAAGGGGGCAGGGAAGGAGCACAAAAGGAAAGAAAAGCTTCTTAGAAAGCTGGTATGACCTTTTTCAGGAGCAAATGGCACTGTGTGCACACTGGAGAATATTCCATATAATACTCTGGGCAAGCCCAGTGGTACCAAAACTTTCCAACTAACTCTCACCTCTGCTGGCTTGTGGCTTTATAATCGTACTTCGGTTAGTAAGAACCTGGCTCTACTACCTGTTTTTTAAAGTTACCTAATACCAAGTTACAAAGGATATTCTTTGCAGTCTGGAAAAAAAAAAAACGTGGATTTCCCCCGCACCCCAAACATTCACGAGCTGTTCAGGAAGTCCTGGGCATGTCTGAAGGCAAAGTGTTCTAATCCTGAGATCTTTTGAATCTCTTTGCACAGCACTAAATCAAGGGTGAAGGAAAATCCACATTTAATAAGACTAGTGGTTCTCAGTGAAAATGACTCAATTACTAATTATTTATTACCAGAAGAGAGAAACTTTAGGAAAACCTGTTCAAATTCTTGGAAACAAACAGAACAGTCAGAACTGCAAGAATATTACTGATAACACAAGCAAGTCTGAAAGGTTGGGGGAGGGGGGTCCTGGGGAAGAAAATGAATTCCTATTTCCCCGTAGCAGGACGCATGTGCCAGAGGTCCACAATCACAAAAGATCAGGATGAGGGGGAGCAGGGAACAGCATTTGTTCAGAAGAGTAGCAGGTGCAGTAACAGCAGGCTTTAGAAAAGCTGAAGAGGCCTGCAGTTGCCAGCAGGCCAGCACTGCCCAAGTTTCAACAATCAAGAAACCCAGTAGTTGGGGATATGAGGGTGATCGGGCTGGCCAGGCAGGTGTCCCTTTCCTCCCTCATCGCTCCCGGAGCTGCGTGCTCAGTCAAAACGGACAACTGTCCTCTGGTCAAGGGTGTAGGAGTAGCTGCGCCCCTCTGCTGGAACCTCCAAACAAGCTCTCAAGAGAGCCAATAGTGGGGGCAAGTTACAAAAAAATCTTTAAAAGCATTTGGCCAGAGGGGCATGTGGGTGGCTCAGTCAGTTAAGCAACTGCCTTTCGCTCAGGTCGTGATCCCAGGGTCCTGGGATCGAGCCCCACATAGGGCTCCCTGCTCTGCAGGCAGCCTGCTTCTCCCTCTGCCTGCGGCTCCCCATTTGTGCTGTCAAATTAAAAAAAAAAAATCATTTGGCCAGCAACAGAGAAGTAGAATACTGAATGAGACACATCTGGGTGTAGAGGGTATTGTATAAATCCATGTTTCTGAACCCAAAAGCGAGGCAAATGATAATGCTCGGGAGAAAAAAAGACTCAGAGATTTCCCAATGACCAGTGTGCTGAAGATCTTAGAGGCCCACTAGTTTCCATGTGCTGGAAATTGGTAATACACAGTTACTGCTGTTATTGCTGACCCCATGTGACCCATTAGAACAGAGCTCTGTGGAGGACATGGCCAGGCTCACCTGTCATTCTGGAGGGAAATTAACCTACACTTTAAGGCCTGTTAAGATTCTGGTCTGTAGCCTGGCTTAAGTCAGTACAAAACAACGTGAAATAATTTAAGGCAGAATTCGATTTACACTTAGGAACGGAAACAAACGTAAAGGTACTTTTCAAGAGAAAAACGTCAGCAACACACAAAGTGCAAAGCAAAATCATATCCTTTCTTTTACGAACCAAAGTGGCTTGTAAGACATCTTGTTAGGGGACAATGAATGTTCAGACAATTAAAAATCCATTTCTTTCACTATTTTTTTCATTTCAGCCCAACAAAGAAAACTGAGCAGGCAAAAGACAACCCTTTGGCAAGCAGTGATGACAACGAAGATGTAGTTTCAGATAAGAAACTTAAGTATTATAAATATCCAGGGTCCACTGGGCCTCAGTCTGCAACGAGACCGATGTCTATCTCTAGAGAGTGGCATGGATATAAAAAGAAGAACCGTACTATCAGTGTAGGGAAAGACATTAACTGTGACGTGATGATTCACAGAGACCACAAGAAGGAAGTGAGAGCCCCTTCTCCATACTGGACAATGGCGAAGCACGACAATGAGAGCTCGTCCTCCTCCACAGCCTCCTCCAGCTCGGATGCATTCTGGCTGGAAGACTATGCCCAGGCTGAAAAGTGCAAGGGTCAACCTGTCTCAAAAGTGGCTTAGGCAGCAGTTTGCAAACTGGTGATCACATAAGCATCTACCTTGAAAACACCCAACTTTTGTGCATTGCTCTGTACAGGTTTGCTATACTTACAGGAACATGTGCAGACTTAACAATTCTTTCCCAAGTGCGTGGTAATGCCTTCAGAGACCTTCTTCCACATGCTATCCGAACACTTCCCTGGGGCCGGACAGGCCTCACCACCTTATTCTCAAAACAGTAACATCAGTCACATCATTAACACACTCCCTTCTAAGAAGAATGTCTCATCTCTTACAAAATGCAGTGGAGGAACCCAGGATCAGAATGGAGGAACCCAGGATCAGAATGAACGTAGAGAGAATTTCACCTTTTAAGTACATTTTTATTTAGATACTTAGTTTCTCTTGTTTTGCAAATTTCAGATGCCCTACTTAAAATAAATAAGAGATATATTTTTCTGGCTGGTTGTTCACGTGTAATAATTTTTCCCCCCTTTTCAGCCCTAAGAAACAGAACAGAAACAGACGAGGGTGAGGGAGATGAGGAAAAAGACAAAACTGTCACACAGCGAAGATAAATCTGACATAAAGTGAGGCAGTGGGAATACAGGATATGACTAATAGGGAATTTATATTTTTCAGAAATAACTCTATTGCAGGAATGACAGAAAAGGGTGTAAAACCCAGACTTTAATTATCCTGACCCAAAAGGACAGATGTTTAAATTGGTTTTATCTTTAAGCCATCAATAATTATCTTAATTTTAATAGTTTCTTATGCTTCTGGACTCTATTATTATACTCCTGTTCTCCTTTACAGCATCTAAAAGATCTCAGCATATAATAAATACTTGATTAACTAATTGCAAAGATGCAAGAAAAACATTTAAACAGAATGTTTTATTGACTTTCAGTCAGCTGGGGATAGTTACCTGTATTTACATGTTAAGACACTTCACCTCATTGGGAAAAAAAAGAGATGAATGTTATATTAGAGGTTTTTGACTTTCATGGGTTTGCTGCTCCAGGTTGAGAACATGTTCAGCTCTTCCCTGCAAGATGTGTTTCAGTATTACAACTCATCAACAAAAGGCGTATGGCTCAGATTTCCACTTGCTGCCATTGACTTCCGGCCAGAAACAAACTTCTTTGCAGCCTTAAAGTAAACAAACAAACAAACAAAAATTAACAGAGATAAGAGAATGTATTATCCAGCAGACAAACTTATTTACTCTTGTTTCAAGAGTGTGTGGGACAGGGCATCCTGAGCCAGCAACTCTGTACTAAGAAGCTCTTGTGAAATTAACTACAGGAGAGCGCTGAGCAGATTTTCATTTGTGACGCTGTAAGAAAGTAAGCTCAGGTGTTCCTTTGAATGCTCCCTCCTACGTGTGACAGAGCAAGTGTGGTGCTCCAGATTTGAGGGTAGCTGTTAAAAAGGGGGATAGGGAAAACCTCACCGACGTTGCAAAATAGGTCAGAGGCGGCCTCAGGCCAGGCAGTACTTTGCGGTTTCTGTTTTATAATGGCAAATAGTCTGAGTCAATAAAAATACCCCAACTGTTAACATAAAAGTCACACTTTCTCTCGCTGTGTTCTTTATGCCACTATTTCAAGACCAGAGGCTGGTCGTTTAGGTGTACTGCCACGAGTAGCAAGCCCCCATGTTCTCTGAAGCCAGCTTTTTCATGGGGACAACAGCTGGGGCCGGGACTCACTAACGGTCATATACAAGAGGAGGAGAGCCATTTGGAAGAGTATGAAAATGATGAACCTAGGGGCCAACTGAAATCGAGTCAAGGTTACTACTTTAAAATAAAATAACCTGTTTTTTTCTAACCCCACTGTCCCTACATAAGGTAGAGCTGTTGCTGAGAAGACGGTTGAGACCTCTATGATACAAGAGGAGTCGACATTTTTAATACAGAAAGAACTGGGAAAACCCACCGATTTTGGATTTATTCTGTAGTTCATGTATTTGTTAGGTACAATAGGGAATATAAAAAGGTATAAGACGTCGTCCTTGCCCTCAAAACAGCTGAATCTCACAATAATATATGTGAAAAAAAAAGTATAGCAATAGGAGGAGGAATGTCTTGGGCTGAGAAAATGAATGGAAATCCCGTGCAGGACTGGCATGACAGTTTATTTCTTGGGAGGAGAATCACATGAAAATCACCTCTCAGAATTTTAAATGGTTTGATCTACCGGGACTTTAGCTGAATGAGGAAGACACACACACGGAGCTGACCAGGAAGCCATCTGCAGACTCGATGGGAAAGAGCCCTCCCGCCTCCACATCAGGCAGACTGGCACCAAACTGCAGGATTGGGACATATACAGCCCAAGGGAGCTTGTGCATTCCTTCTGAGATTGGATCATTAAGGTCAAATTATTTGATGTAAAATCAGAAGTTTTCATTCACTCACGTTTACGACATCAGCATCAGCAACGGAGTCTATCTGCTGAAGGACTGTGTCTGGCGGTATGTAAGATCCCGCACCCAGCGCCTGGGACCCGACTTCATCCAGGAACCCCTCAGAAGACTCCACTGACATTAGGTAGCCAGCTTTCAGCTTGTTCCTGTCCAGTAAAAGGTATGTAACTAAGGCAGAAGCCAGTTTTATAAGAGCAAGGCAATTTGAAAGTATGTTCTCAAACCAAATAAAGTATGTTTTCAAACACAAACATGTTTTGGTAAATACACAAATGAACAGCTTTGAAATCTTACAGGGCTAAAGGCCTCCATTCTGTCTTCAGTTCATCAATTATGTGATTATGCGATTATTTAGAAAGCTGTCAATAGGCGATTATACTGGAAACCCAACAGACTGCCTTTTGATTTTAGACTAGAACTTAGATTATTTTAATGTGAAGTTTTGATTAGTGAAGTAACTCTTGCCTCCAAATACTTTTCTGGTGATGATTTTAGGCATTTCTATTAAAGCAGAACACCTATGTGGGGTCTTCAGGCACTGTCCACTTAGTGGAATATTGTGTGCTGATTCTCTATCTACCTGCAACCCCCAGACCCATTTCTACAAGGAGCTTTGTCTCAATGAGGGTGGGGCATGATTGAGAAGACAGGTGAAGGACAGTAGAGGTCTTTTTTTTTTTTTTAAAGATTTACTTGTCAGAGCGAGCGAGAAAGAGAGAGAGCACACAAGCAGGGGGAAGGCAGGCAGAGGGAGAAGCAGGCTCCCCGCTGGGCAGAGAGCCCGGTAAGGGACTCGATCCCAGGACCCTGGGAGCATGACCCGAGCCGAAGAGACGCTTAATGACTGAGCCACCCAGGCGTCCCAGGACAGAAGAGGTCTTACAGTCTGTGCAGCTTAAATATGGGCACAAAGCATGAATTTGAAATAAAAATCCAATTCATAATTCTCTCTTGAGTAATTTAACTCTCAAATAAACTATCCTTGTTTGGCACTCTGTAGCAAGAGTTCCATTTACACATAATCACAACTTAATCCAGTTTTACCACACTGTCAGTTTAATGAAAAAAATTTTTTTTACCTTTTTTTTTTCTAAGAGAGGGAGGGGGGGCAGAAGGAGAAGGAGAGAGAGAGTCTCAAGCAGGCCCTACACCCAGCAGAGAGTCCAATGCAGGGCTTGATCTCACGACCCTGAGATCATGACCTGAGCCAAAACCAAGAGTTGGACACTTAACTGACTGAGCCACTCAGGGGCCCTAAGAGTTTATAGATTTTACCTCTTCACTCTAGGCAACAAACTGATGGTTACCAGAGGGAAAGTGGGTGGGGGAATGGGTGAAACAGGTGATGGGGATTAAGGAGGGCACTTGCTGTGATGAGCACAGAGTGATGTATGGAAGTGTTGACTCACTATATTGTACTCCTGAAACTAATATTACACTGTATGTTAATTAACTGGAATTTAAGTAAAAACTTAAACTTTTTTTGCCTACAATAAACTTTACCAAGATATTATTAGTTTGTCCCTTCAGCAATGACACCTTGCTTTCTTTCACTACAGGAAGACTAATAAGAATCTTACAAGAAAAAGTATCAACTCCATCAAAATGACAGAAAACAAACCTATCTTGATATTAATAACTGAAATTCCATTTTCTACATGTTGCCGTACCGTATAAAACTGCTACGCTTAAGAAAATATATTTTCTTAAATAAATTAGATTTTTATTTCTTTCTTTGACAGAGAAAGACACAGCGAGAGAGGGAACACAAGCAGGGGGAGTGGGAGAGGGAGAAGCAGGCCTCCCATGGAGCAAGGAGCCCGATGCGGGACTCGACCCCCGGACCCTGGGACCATGACCTGAGCCAAAGGCAGATGCTTAATGACTGAGCCACCCAGGCGTCCCAAATAAATTAGATTTGAAACTGATTTTTCTTAAGTAAATCCAGTGTTTCAATTTATTCTCATCATGTTTTGTTTGTGGTGCAATCATGTAGAACTGCATCCTATTAACCAATCCTTGGTTCCATGTACACAGTATTTAATAAACTGTACTGTACTTATTTATTTATTTATTTTTAAGATTTTATTTATTTATTTGAGAGAGAGAGAGAGAGCACGAGAGGGGGTTGGGTCAGAGGGAGAAGCAGACTCCCTGCTGAGCAGGGAGCCCGATGCAGGACTAGATCCCGGGACTCCAGGATCATGACCTGAGCCGAAGGCAGTCGCTTAACCAACTGAGCCACCCAGGCGCCCCTGTACTGTACTTCTTTAAGAGATGCAATTTTTAGTGTCTTCAGTGCAACAGAAGTAATAATGCTAATGGGAACAATCTGAAATGACCAGGAAGTTGTTCCCTCCTGAGTCGTAATTTGCCCCGTCATACCTCCTCTGTGGGCAATACTAAATGATTAGGAAGACAGTGTTGAGTTTCATGATTCACATTTTGAACTGTCCTAAATGGATGGAGTCAAATTTAAGTGTTTTAAACTGCTGAATGAAAATGCAAGCTGATTTCCAGCTTGGTCAAAAGTGTGTCTCTTTTGTTAGACTCTCCAAACTACTGAGTGAGAGGTGTTGCTGGCGCTCCCAGTGAAAACAGTGGGAATTTAAAAAATCGCCAAATAGGAGACAAGTACTTCAATTTTTTAATCAGATACAGTGGTCTGATTTATCCGCGGGGGATACCTTCCAAGACCCCCAGTGGATGCCTGAAGCCATGGTTAGTACCAAACCCTATATATACTATGTTTTTCCTAACATACCTATAGTTAATTTATAAATTAGGCACAGTGAAAGATTAACAATAACTACTAATAAAATAGAACTGTAACAATATGCTGTAATAAAAGTTATGTGAATATGGTCTCTCTCATTTAAAAATAACTTATTGTCCTATACTCACCTTTCTTGTGATGATGTGAGATGATCAAATGCCTACATGATGAGATGAAGTGAGGTGAGTGATGCAGTCGTGCTGTGACATAGTGTTCAGCTACTGATGACCTTCGACAGTAAGTCAGGAGGAAGATCATCTGCTTTCAGACCATGGCTGACTGCAGGTAACCATGGAAAGCGAAACCATGGATAAGGGGGGGACTAGTGTATCTTTTTTTGGTCTATCACATCAGTGAAGAGGTGAAAAAAAGAAATGGCCAATGGTTATGGCAGAACAGGCACTCTCATATACTGGTGCTGTGATTCTAAACTGGTATAACCTTTTTACATTGGGATTTTGAAATATAAAAATAAAAATATAGATATATATTTGAACAGACTTTTGTGATACTTATTGTAACTCCTGACTCAGTTGGGAATCTATACCGAGAAGGTAACATGAAATACAAAAATGTTTTAAGACTGAAGATAGCTTTTCTAGTTTATAATTTCCAACCGTAGGAAATGTCCAACAAGTGTATTTTGATACACCAGTTAATACTATTTATAACACATTTTTAGTAATCTGAATAAATGGAATAATCATTATAATGTTAAAAAAAGAGGAATCATTGGTAAGGAATGAGAGATCATTTTTTATTTTTTGTTTCTTATTTTCAAATTTCTACAATAAACACGCTATTAAATAGGATATAAGCATATATAATAATAGTTAACAATTATGTTTAAAATGCATAAAACGGTCAAGAAAATAAGCAAGATATTAACAATTATATCTCTAGGTAGCAGGATGTGGGTGTGTTTCCCTTTCCTTTTAAATACTTTTCTGTACCGGGTGCCTGGGTGGCTCAGTTGGTTAAGCAACTGCCTTCGGCTCAGGTCATGATCCTGGAGTCCTGGGATCATGACCTGAGCTGAAGGCAGACGCTTAACCATCTGAGCCACCCAGGCGCCCTCAATCCTTTTTTTTTTTTAAATGTTATAATATGGTGTGATTTTTTTTTTTTAAAGATTTTTAAAATTTATTTATTTGACAGAGAGAGAGACAGCAGGAACACAAGCAGGAGGAGTGGGAGAGGGAGAAGCAGACTCCCCACCGAGCAGGGAGCCTGATGTGGGGCTCGATCCCAGCATCCTGGGATCATGACCTGAGCTGAAGGCAGACGCTTAATGACTGAGCCACCCAGGCGCCCCTGTACATTTCAATCCTTTTGGGTATATGTTACAACAAAAAATACAACTTTCAAATACCTGAAACACAAAACACACAGTTAATACTGCAACTTACTTGGCAGCTTGGACATCTGCATTGGAAAGGTTTCCTTGAGCAATTGTTTTCACTTGGTTATAGGCAGCCTTGATAACCTAGGACAAACAAGAGACAGCTGGTCATTTTTGATCAGTGCCAGAGTCTCCTGAAGCAATCAAATGCTCCTCTACTGAGGCAAAAACACAAGACGGAAGGTCAGTTCCAGAGAAAAGCATAGTGTCCATTTGGAATTCTTGCCACTATGCGCTCCTTATTCTTCCAGTGTTCCATAAAGCAGTTGCCTGTATAATCTGCAGTGTCCAAGTAGCCAAGCTATCTAATCTATTTATTTATTTATAGTGGGCAGCAAAGCAAGGTTTATGAGCGATAGCAGTTTATTATTGAGTGATAGTACAAAGCTCCCGAAGAGGGAAGGGAATCAAGAGGTTGCCCGTAGCCAAGCTTTTTAGAAAAGTGGCAGAGCACAGAGAATGCCAGGCTGGTTTAGGAAAAGCAAACACAGGGATTTCTAATTGCCTGTAAAGAATAAATACCTCTAAATTTCCCCAAAGCGTCATGCAATTAATACTGCTATCCCTTACTATTCATTAAGAAGAAAGTAGTAATTCACACACCGATTTGTAAAGCTTATCCATGCCTGGGAGGCTGGGGTCAAGCAGGAATCACGTTCCAGTGATGTAGGTGGGTGTTTGGGAAATATTTGTTGGGTAAATAAGTTCATAAACCCGGTCCATGATTTTCTCCATCCCAACCTTGGCACCATCCTGGGTCACTGATCTAACCCTAATCACCATTCTAGGACCTTCATTTCCCCTGCATTTTAGCTACCCATTTCGACAGCCACACCCGACTTAGACATAACCTAAATTTGCCCTTTCTGTGAAATCAATTCCAAGACCCCTGGCCTAAGTCTTTAATCACACTATCCTTGTTCCACTTTATCAAGATCTTTAGTTCCTTGATTTGTCTACTTTCAATCCATCGAGTCCCTTGGCTTCACTTCTCTGTCTGGCCAAGATCCACGAATCACTCCTTCAGTCACTCTCGTCACTGTGCCCCACTCCCTTGCCATCTGCCCATACTTCTGACTTGCCCACTTTGTAGGTTTCTAACCTTGGATGGAATCTACGACCTGCCCCTTCCATTACTCCGTTAGAAATACTACTGAAGAAAAACTATGAAATGATTGTAATACATGACAATATGTGTAGGAAGTGTCATAGGTGACTGTCGTATGAATTTGTGGTCTCTCACCTCCAGGAGACACCTACATGGCTGTCAATGCCCATTCTGTGTGTATCTAGCCCTTCATTTGTCCCAAATTTCATTATTTTCTTTCAACTCTCCTACCTTCTCTTACTCTCAAGACAGGACAGCCTCCCCCCTGACTGGGGACGTACTTCCGCATCTTTCCCACAGCAGCCTTTGTGTCCAAGGCTAAAATGTCCATTTGTACTCTGCATTCCACCTGCTCACGATTTTTCAGACCTGTTCCATTTATAATATCCTGTATCTCCTCCAATCTTTCTTTCCCTTCAGTATGAATTCTCTCCCAACTAATCTCTCAATGTAAACTCTCCCAAAACTATCACCCACCTCCCCAGCAAGTCTGAGCTCCACCTGCCTATGCCAACCTCACATTTCTTTCTTCTCATTCATTCCTTAACACTATAAATGTTAGCTCACTACCAATACTCTGGTGAAAACTGATGTTACCAGTGATGTCCTGGTTTGCTGTAACTACCAGGGCTCTCTGGTAACTAAATGGATGGTAATCCAGAGTGGATCAAAATGGCGTTAACCATTCGCTCTTTCCTGGCCTCTTAAAAATACCAGTTTCTCTTCTTGTTTTCTGGGCCATTTTCCTTAGTCACTTGGCAGCACTCCCCAGAGCTCGAGCTTAAGTTTTCTCCTCCTACAGTCTTTCACACACAACCCTGACTTCAACACAATCTCTGTGCTGAGGACTCTGAAAGATCCATGTTGGCCTTGACATCACCTGAGTTCTCAATTTAGATGTCCCAGAGAGACAGCTCAATGCCACCTGTCCAAACAGAACCAAAATACCAAGGAGACACTTCTTCCCTCTTTCCTGGAAGCACGAGTATACATTTTTAAGTTCCTTGCACAGCAGACACGTGGTAATGATATCACACTATACAGAACTCTGATAAGTCACGGCCTTCAAACACTCCCTGTTTTTTACTAAAAACATGTTAATGGAGGAAAAACACTTGTGAGAATTGGTGAGTTTGCAACTTACATCTCCAGCTGCGGCAGCCTGTGAGATGGTGTAAATCCCAAAGAGTCCAGAATCCGAGTAACTGGCATTAAAAGCGGAAACCTGAAATATAATGAAATTCTACCGTATGTCATTTTACCAGGGAAAACAGGGCACAATTTCCCAAATAGACAAAAACTTGGGGACCCTCACGGTACAAGCAAAAAGAGATGAATTAATATTTCACGTAACCGGTTCTGTCAAGGACTGCAGTGTTTCGGACACAGGTTACTTCTTTCAAAACCATAATGGTTTTAACTTTTTTCACTTAAATCTTCCTAAAACAGACTGCTTGCTTTACTTTTTGCTGGGTATTTTCTAACCTTTGATGATTAAAGTTTACTGTAAACATTAATTTGTGAACAGCACCATCACTGTTCACTGATCACAGCCACAGTATGGCTGAGTGGTACGGACTGTGGGCTTTGGCGTCACACAAACCTCCTGTCTTCCCACTGCTAGCGCTGGTGACTTCTTTTTGGCCAATTCACTTAACACTTCTCCTATACACTGAAGTCAAAGGGTTGGGGAAAAATGTCTGCTTAGTGGACGTTATTCAGATACCCAAGGTAGCTGCAAGTTCAGCCTCAGGATAACGGGGGTATTGCTGTCTGCAGTCTGGGCAGAATGTTAAGCTCCCTAAGGGGAACACGAATGTCAGTGTCCTGTTGCCCAGTGTTTATGTGGATGATTTACAAAAAGACCACCTGAGCTGTTATTAAAAATACAGACTTTCAAGTTCATGTAACAGATTTACTCACTCAGATCCCTGCAGATGCAATCTGGAAAGCCGCATTTAAAAAAATAATTCCACGTGATTCTTATGCATGTTAAAATTTGAGAACCACCGGCTTGGCCCATTTGAAGCATAAGAAGAAATGTTAATGATTTGAAGTTTAATCACAATTTTGAGACTATCCTGTTCATACCTCAAATTTCTGGCCAAATGCTGAAGTAGGAATTTCTTTTCTTTTTTTTTTAAAGATTTTATTTCTTTCTTTGACAGAGAGAGACACAGCGAGAGAGGGAACACAAGCAGGGGGAGCAGGAGAGGGAGATGCAGGCTAGCCTGATGTGGGACTCGATCCCAGGACTCTGGTTATCATGACCTGAGCCTAAGGCAGATGCTTAATCTATTGAGGTGCCCTTCATTTTTCTTTTTTAACTTAATCTCAAACTGGAGGGATGGGTGTACAGTTTCTCGGTGTACATGCTGTACATTTGGTTGGAAAACAGGAAGAGCAGTGAAATTCACGAAATAACCACAAGAACACAAGAGGACAGAAGAAAATCTAGGAAAAAAGACTAATTAGAATCTGGGAAAGTGTTTAATATCTAAAACTTTATTCTAAGGGGCCCTGAAGGATGAATTTCTGATTTTTTAAGCATTTCCTTCTTTCTACATTATGTAACTGAAAAGAAAGGATGTTTCTGATTAGGCCCTAAGGAACTAAACTCAAGCCTGGCTATCTCTTCATTTCTACAAAGATTTTCTTTGTGTGCACCTTAAATTTTAAGAGCAGATTAACAGGACTACATCATACACATTGAGCCTTTACAAACAAAAGGAGAGATGTTGACTATTCAGACTCACATCAAATGGCTGGTGAACTCCCTTGGCAACAGCCTGGTACAGAGCGCTGGTGGGATGGCTGCCCCTCTTGACATGTGGTCCAGCACCAAGGACGTACTGGAGAACACTAAATGCATTTGCTTCTGTACCTCCTGTGGCAGTACTTTCAGCTACAAGAGCAGCATGAACGAGACTGTCTCCATTCTGCTCTCGGATTTCACCTGGTGCCATGTAAAGAGAGAGCGAGGAAGAACGGGGCTTGGTCACCACTGGCTTTATTCTTCTGTATTCTCTACGACACAGTATTAACCCACTAAGATTTTCTGTGGCCTGGTGCTCCCAGCATACCATCCTGCTCTCCCCACAACACACACACACACAAAACATGTTTAATACACAACACCCAAGCAATCTAATCCCTTCCTTCCACACTGAGTCTGTTTGGTGGTAAGTAATCAGGCCTATCCTACTCCAATACACTATTCTGATGGGGAACGTCCTTCTGATAAGTCAGCCCTAACAGAACAAAATGCTTACCTCCACGATATTTGGCCTTTGCACCAGGTAAACCAAGCCCACCCCTCATGTTGAGAAACTGTTCCGCAACTTGCTTTAGAACAGGGTGACTCACACCTAAAACAAAACCAAGCTAGAACCATTAATTTTTAAAATACAATTGCAAAACATCTACTGTTTTAAAAATAGTGATTATACAAATTACAGAAATAAACAGTAAAGAAAACAAGAGTCCACCCCCCACAATGCTACTCTCCCAGAGATTCCACTTATAGTTTACTAATACATATTCATCTAGAACTTTTTTCTTACTTGTATTAATATTATCCTCATTTTATTTTTAAAATGGTGTTATTCTATTCATATTATTTCTAACTTGTCTTTTGTAATTTCTATCTAGGTGAGGGGTCTACGGCAAACATTTAATGGCTATGAAGAATTCCATTATATGGATGTACTATCATTTAATCAGTCCCTTCTTGATTGACATTAGCATGTTTCCTGATTAATCATTGGCTATTAAAACAATACTGCATTGTACAAATAACATTTTTAAAAAGATTTAAAATCAATTAACTAATATAGTGTATTATTAGTTTCAGAGGTAGAGTTTAGTGATTCATTAGTTGCATATAACACCCAGTGCTCGTTATATCACGTGACGTCCTTAATGCCCATCACCCAATTACCCCATCCCCCTACCCACTTCCCCTCCAGTAACCCTCAGTTTGTTCCCTACAGTTAAAGAGTCTCATGGTTTGTCTCCCTCTCTGATTTAGTCTTATTTTAGTTTTCCTTCCTTTTCCCTACATTCATCTTTTGTTTCTTAAATTCCATCTATGAGTGAAATCATTTGATAACTGTCTTTCTCTGACTTATTTCACTTAGCATAATGCCCTCTAGTTCCACCCACATTGCTGCAAATGGCAAGATTTCATTCTTTTTGATGGCTGAGTAAAGAACGCTTTCAAGAGAGTAAAACGGATCCACAGAATGGGAAAAAATGTTTGCAAATGATATATTTGTAAGGATTTAGTATCCAAAATATATAAAAAACTCTTACAACTCAAAAATAAAAAAAAAAACCAACCCAATTCAAAAATGGGCAAAGAACTTGAATAGACATTTCTCCAAAGAAGATATATAAATGCCCAAAAAGCACAAAATATGAGTTATTAGGGAGACACAAATGGAATGAGATACCATTTCACAGACACTAGGATGGCCACCATCGAAAAGACAGATACTAGTAAATGCTGGTGATGAAGTGGAAATACTGGAACCCTTGTGTGCCGTCGGGGCGGGGAGGGGGGATGTCAACACTTCAACTGCCGTGGACAACAGGCTGGCAGTTCCACAAATGGTTCAATAACTACCACAGGTCCTGGCAATTTTACTTCTTATACCCCGAAGAATGAAAAACAGGTGGTTCTAACTAAAACTTACACGCGAATGTTTTTATTTACAATAGCCCAAAGTTGAAAACAACTCAAATGCCATTGTGACGAACAGATGAACAAAGAGTGGTAATGGAGTATTTTAGCCAGAAAAGGGGATGGAACATTGGCAAGTGCTACAATATGGACGGACTCTGAAAACATTGTGAAGTGAAAGAAGTCAGCTATAAAAGGCCACATATTGTAGGATTCCACTTCTATGAAATGTCCAGAGAGTCAACTCTATAGAGAGACAGGAAGGAGATGAGTGGTGGAATAAGGAGTGGCTATAATGAACACAGGGTTTTTGGGGGGATGATCAAAATATTCTGAAATTAGATAGTGGTAACACTTATAGCACCCTCTGAATATAATAAAACTCATGGAACTGTATACTTTAAAAAGGTGGATTTTATGGTATTTGAATTATACCTCAATGATGCTGTTATTTACAAAACAAATGGAACCAAAAAACAGTATAGCAAATATCATCTTTGTGCAACTATTTTGTAAACCTGACCAACTGTTTCTGTATAAATCCTTAAAAACAAAATCACTGGGTTTAATGTATCAATATTTAAAATTTTAATATATTTAAACAGACCTCCAAAAATATACCAGTTTATACTCCCACCAACAATTTTTGAGAGTGCTTAATTTCTCCATACCCTGGTTAATACTGGGCAGTGTCAATCTTTTAGTTTTTGCCAATCTCACGGGTTAAAATTTTAACTATTAGGCAAGGCTATCTTTTACAATAACTGGCTACACACACATGTGTGTGTATATACACACATTTCCCCCATGAATCGGTTGTTCACTCCCTTTGCCTATTTTTTTTTTTCTAAAGATTTTATTTATTTGAGAGAGAGAGAATGAGAGATAGCACGAGAGGGAAGAGGGTCAGAGGGAGAAGCAGACTCCCTGCTGAGCAGGGAGCCCGATGTGGGACTCGATCCCGGGACTCCAGGATCATGACCTGAGCCGAAGGCAGTCGCTTAACCAACTGAACCACCCAGGCGCCCTCCCTTTGCCTATTTTCAATTAAATTATACTTCTTTAAAACAAAAGACTTGCAAAAGCATTTTGCTTAGAGAAATTTGCCCTTTATCATAATTTTTCAAATACTGTAATAAACTCAAAGCCAGTAGTTTACATAGTTAAATGCTGGATTCTGCTTACTAAAACCAAACAACCTACCAATTAAAATCCTATCACACAGTGCTTGTCTGACATCAACAGAGGACTGAGTTACCAAATTTGGTTCAATCCTGTGCTCTTATGATTATAGCTTAAAAAGACTACTCTTAAAGAAATAGACTGACATGCAAGCAATTCCCAACTTACCGAGTCCAATCAAAGCCATTCTTGCACTTGTGAAATGGTTCTGAACAAAGTAATGCAACTAAGGAAGTTAAGAACATTTATGAGGTTATATTGGTATAAATACAGAAAGCCGAAAAAATTAAAACCGCAGGTCAACAGAAAATAAATACTCAGGCTTAAAAGCTGCCGTTGTAAACTACAGACTACATAGTGCTGAATTATATTGCTTTTCTTTTTTAAACTATCGATTAAAAGAACTAGAACTTTTTAAAAAATTTTTTTCTTATGTTAATTACCATACATTACATCATTAGTTTTGATGTAGTATTCCATGATTCAGTATTTGCATATAACACCCAGTGCTCCATGCAGAACGTGCCCTCTTTAATACCCATCACCAGGCTAACCCATCCTCCCACCCCCCCTCCCCTCTAGAGGGGGGTTTGTTTTTCAGAGTCCATCGTCTCTCATGGTTCGTCTCCCCCTCCGATTCCCCCCTTCATTTAAAAGAACTAGAACTTAAAGTGGTAATGGTTACATGACTGTGAATATAGTGAAAACTACTGAATCGTGCACTTTATTTTTTTAAGATTTTGTTTATTTATTTTAGAGAGAGAGTGAGAGCATGCCAATGAGTGGGGGGAGGGAGAGAGAGAATCTCAAGCAGGCTCCATGCCCAGTGTGGAGTCTGACATGGGGCCCAATCTTATAACCCTGAGATGATGACCTGAGCTGAAACCAAGAGTCAGACACTTAACCGACTGAGCCACCCAGGTACTCCTGAATTGTATACTTTAAGTAGGTGAACTGTATGACATGTGAATTATAACTCAATAAAGCTGTATTGAAAAAAAGGAACTAAAAAACGGCCTGAAAAAAACTAGAGCACACACTGGCTTGAATTTGAAAAAAATGAGACTAAGCTTATGATTTTTATTATGTGATTTTAGCAGATATGCATCAGATTTCTTTCGTCTTTATATACATAGTAAGAAAGTACTATTAACATTCTACAGTAGGGCTAAAACCTATTCTCAACAGGAGCACTGTTGCTCCCCAGGGAGTGAAAATTGTCTCTTGGGGGCAAGAAAAACATTTTACTTCTTTTATGTATAAAACGCAAATATATATACATGTACATAAACAGACAGTGTATCTATGATATTAAAAATTGATTTTGAGTCAGGGTAGAAAAAATGGCTAAAAATGGTTCCTTGGGAATGGGTCATAATGTTGAGAATCATTAGGCAATGGTAACGTGACTGAATCCAGTTACCAGAATTTGTGCCCTGAAGTGAATGGTGCCTACATCTTTGGAATCACCACGGAATCATTCTCTTTTTTTTTTCCCTCCTGAATGCTGCCATCACTCAAGGTATTCTAGCACCAATTTCTTTACAATTTCCCTTAGACTAAGGACACGTTTAAAAATGCTAATAACTTTGAGGTAACCATGGTTAATATATTGGTATCTGTCCAGGATACACACACACCCCCCACCCCCCCACACCTTTATTCTCTAAAAATTGAGACCCTATGGTACATCCTATTCATAAATTACATTTTTTTTTAAAGATTTTATTTATTTATTTGAGAGAGAGAATGAGAGAGAGAGAGAGAGCGCGCATGAAAGGGGGGAGGGTCAGAGGGAGAAGCAGACCCCCCACTGAGCAGGGAGTCCGATGTGGGACTTGATCCCGGGACTCCAGGATCATGACCTGAGCCGAAGGCAGTCGCTTAACCAACTGAGCCACCCAGGCGCCCCAAAAATTACATTTTCTAACTTGACAATATGCTATGGGATTTTTCCATACCAATATTTTTGAATGGTTGAATAGTATTCCATTCCACAGACACTTAATAAGTTACTTAACTAGTCCCCTAACGTTGGATGTTGAACTTGGGTCTGATTTTTCACAATTACAGACAACGCTACAGCAGACGCCCTTGTGGATAAATGTTTCGCTATGTATGCTCTTTTAGCTACCTCAATAACGTATCTTCACATGGGTGACTCTGATTTCTGAAAAATTTCAAAACTCATTAGAGGCTAATCTTATGAAAGATGTTCACTGTTTAGGTTGGATGATATCAGTTATAATTTCTTAAAAGTGCCATAGGAATGGCAGGCATTAAACTGACTGATAAGTGGATAGTTTTCTAACCAGGAAATAAAAGAGGAAAGGGATAGGATATACAGTTGAGTTTTCTCTAGTGGTTAACCAGAAATGAAATGAGAATAAAACCTTAACTTCCGAGTCATATACACACTTTGCCAAGTCTTGATAGTTCCCAATTTTTCTTTTAACGTCTTCTGATAAATAATTTTTTGCAGGGTGGTAGGAGTAGGAAATTAAGATTATATACAGGCACCCACACTTGCAAGAGATACACTGTGACATTCAACGTTTCACATTTTGGACCTGAAGTTTTATGTTACATATATGGCTGTGATGTGTGACAATCTGTACCGCCAGCAAAGTAAGGCCCGTGTGCTGAAGGAGGCAAGTGAGCTAGAGTAAGCAGGCTGATGACGGATGGGGAGGTGACGTGGGCTCATTCCTACCTGCACACTGAGGAGTTAAAGGAAGACTTCTGGTCAAAAGATTATGAAATTTAACACTTAAATACTGTTTAAAAAAGATAAATATACACAGAAAAAGGTCTAGAGGAAAATACACCCAGGCATTAACATTCAGTGCCTTTAGGTATGTGAGATGTTTTCTTTTTTGCTTCTTGTTGTTTTCTGGATTTTCTGAAATAAACATGTCCCTTTTACGATAAAAACTTCCTTTAGTTAAAAGCTGTAAAAATTGTTCAGGTAGAATTTTAGTTAAAAAGGCAAGCTGAGGGGCGCCTGGGTGGCTCAGTTGTTAAGCGTCTGCCTTCGGCTCAGGTCATGATCCCAGGGTCCTGGAATCTAGCCCCGCATCGGGCTCCCTGTTCAGCGGGAAGCCTGCTTCTCCCTCTCCCACTCCCCCTGCTTGTGTTCATGCTCTTGCTATCTTTCTGTGAAATAAATAAATAAAATCTTTAAAAAAAAAAAAAAAGGCAAGCTGATTAAAAAAAAAAAAAGCCAGCAGGTGAATTTTTAAAATTTGAAGATAAAAAGAAAAATTAACAAACAAACCTGAAATGGCAGATAAATGTTCAATTTAATGTGAAAACAAGCACATTTTAAAATGTAATGTGTTTTATCAGTACCTCATCTGGTGTCACTTTTCCAATCCTATAATCAGGACAATACAGGGAATTAGCCAAGGCATTTCGGTAAGCTGCAGCATGCAAATTTTCAAGGACACCTGTAAAATAAGTAAAGCAGCATTTGTGGAAATGATTCAAATAAGACAACGTTTTTAGAACCTAGAAAGCAACTAGACAATACAATTTTGGTCACCTTATGGCATTCAAGTGTTATGAGGGCTTGAAATTTAAAAGTTGGCCAGCTGAACGTCCTGAGAAAGGTAAGAAATTAGGACAGCAGCTTCTACATACCAGGGCTCGCCTGACCACTTCTCTAACTTTAATCTACCTGGTATCATCTGGAAAGTATAATGGCCTAGGTTTCAGCAAGTCTGAATCTAGTTATAGTTCTGCCACCAATGCACCATGTGACCTTGGGTAAGTAATTTACCTCTATTTTACTCGTACATTCTCTACGTAATGAGGAGTTGTCAGGTTAAGAAGATATATGAAAGTGCCAGTGTTAAGTCCTATCAATAGCTTTCGGGGGGGTCCAAGTGTCCTCCTCACTGGAGCACGGGCACTGTCTCTGCTTTCCTGCTTCAGTCAGTGCCTTTGCTCGTTACTCGGGCAATCTCCCTATGCCGGGAATGGTTAGGTGCTGGAAATAGAGACATGAGTAAGACGCAATGCCTGGTCTCAAAATGTTAAGCGGGGAAAACGGTGAAATAAAGCATGATGGGCATGATGTCAGCAGCAGATCAAAAGCACAGCAGGGGCGCAAGGGAGGGCAGTGGGAATTGGAAAGGAGTAACAGAAGTAAAATCTGGAATGAGTTTTTTTTTTTTTTAAAGATTTATTTATTTATTTGAAAGACAGAGAATGAGAGAGAGAGAGAGCACACGAGAGGGGGGAGGGTCAGAGGGAGAAGCAGACTCATCGAGCAGGGAGCCCGATGTGGGACTCGATCCCGAGACTCCAGGATCATGACCTGAGCTGAAGGCAGTCGCTTAACCAACTGAGCCACCCAGGCGCCCCAAAAATTACATTTTCTAACTTGACAATATGCTATGGGATTTTTCCATACCAATATTTTTGAATGGTTGAATAGTATTCCATTCCACAGACACTTAATAAGTTACTTAACTAGTCCCCTAACGTTGGATGTTGAACTTGGGTCTGATTTTTCACAATTACAGACAACGCTACAGCAGACGCCCTTGTGGATAAATGTTTCGCTATGTATGCTCTTTTAGCTACCTCAATAACGTATCTTCACATGGGTGACTCTGATTTCTGAAAAATTTCAAAACTCATTAGAGGCTAATCTTATGAAAGATGTTCACTGTTTAGGTTGGATGATATCAGTTATAATTTCTTAAAAGTGCCATAGGAATGGCAGGCATTAAACTGACTGATAAGTGGATAGTTTTCTAACCAGGAAATAAAAGAGGAAAGGGATAGGATATACAGTTGAGTTTTCTCTAGTGGTTAACCAGAAATGAAATGAGAATAAAACCTTAACTTCCGAGTCATATACACACTTTGCCAAGTCTTGATAGTTCCCAATTTTTCTTTTAACGTCTTCTGATAAATAATTTTTTGCAGGGTGGTAGGAGTAGGAAATTAAGATTATATACAGGCACCCACACTTGCAAGAGATACACTGTGACATTCAACGTTTCACATTTTGGACCTGAAGTTTTATGTTACATATATGGCTGTGATGTGTGACAATCTGTACCGCCAGCAAAGTAAGGCCCGTGTGCTGAAGGAGGCAAGTGAGCTAGAGTAAGCAGGCTGATGACGGATGGGGAGGTGACGTGGGCTCATTCCTACCTGCACACTGAGGAGTTAAAGGAAGACTTCTGGTCAAAAGATTATGAAATTTAACACTTAAATACTGTTTAAAAAAGATAAATATACACAGAAAAAGGTCTAGAGGAAAATACACCCAGGCATTAACATTCAGTGCCTTTAGGTATGTGAGATGTTTTCTTTTTTGCTTCTTGTTGTTTTCTGGATTTTCTGAAATAAACATGTCCCTTTTACGATAAAAACTTCCTTTAGTTAAAAGCTGTAAAAATTGTTCAGGTAGAATTTTAGTTAAAAAGGCAAGCTGAGGGGCGCCTGGGTGGCTCAGTTGTTAAGCGTCTGCCTTCGGCTCAGGTCATGATCCCAGGGTCCTGGAATCTAGCCCCGCATCGGGCTCCCTG